CATTAACTGGGGCCCGGCACACTGCAGAAAAAAAAGGACCACCCTCCCATTTGCCTGCCTGCTTCTGTTGCCACCGTGCTGACCGCTGAAAAAAAATAGCACTGTACGTGTTCCCAACTGCATATATCAGCATAATTATGTAAGTTGATAAAAAAAAACATAAAGGGATAAAATACAATTGCAAATGTAAATAGTTTTATTTTTACTGTGAAAAAAAAGCTGAAAACTTTGCAAAAACTTAATGAAAGTGAACATTGCTAAAAAACAAAAATTGTTAGGCTGGGCACGGTGGCTTCACGCCTGTAATCCAGCACTCTGGAAGGCTGAGGCCGGCAGTCACTGGAGCCTGGGAGTTTGACACCAGCCTGGGGCAACATGACGAAACCCTGTCTGTACTAAAAATAGAGAAATTAGCCAGGTGTGGTGGTGAAACATCCATAATCCAGCTGAGGCATGAGAACTGCTGACCCCAAGAGGTGGAGATTGCAGTGAGCGAGAATGCACCACTGCACTGAGTGAAACTCTGTCTTCCAAAAAAAAAAAGTGAAATTACATAAAGGTGAAAAACTGTAAAAGATCAGGAAAAAGAAATCAGAGAAATATCAGATTGCCTCCACAAGTTCCCAGTTTCTATTTTTGTAGTAACTAAAGATAGGCAACTATTTCCCTCAACGATCAGATGGTAAATATTTTTTAGCCTCTGTGGGCTTTTCATGTCCCAACGACCAGCTATGCCACTGCACAGGAAAAGCAGCCACAGACAATATGTGAATGAGTGGCAAACCTGCACACCAATACAACTCCACCTACAAAGCAGGCCGACCCGAGCGAACCAGAAACTGGAGATGAACCACATATGACGTGTAAATGAAAGCAGCACAGCAGACCTGCACACAGAGATCAGAGGTGCACTTTCACATGCTGTGCGCAAAATTATGCTGTTCACGAGTACGCCAGGTTATTTCCCACTGTCCCCCAAGGCCAGACTGCAGGGTAGGATACTTCTACCGAAACTGTCGCCTCAGAAAATAACGGCACAGCAGGGACACTTCCCTACAAGATCTGCACCAAAGAAACACCAGTGTGAGGAAGACACTGTCCGCAGCCTGTTCAAGGCAGTTTACTCAACATATCATCACAAACTTCACCTAAAGTAGCAACTACACTAAAGAACGCCAGGCTAGTCTCCTGACACAGCTCAGACCTCACAAAACTTTTAATCAGGAAATATTTTAAGGTCTACCACTCACTCGATATCGATAAAATAGATATTTTTAAATGACAAGATGTCAAATTGAACGCTCCTTGAAAGCAGGAGCCTTTCAGAGGAGACCACCTTTGCTCTAGGACTCACAGTAGCAGAAACAGGATGGCTCTGACAATGTCTGTCCCGGCCATGGCAGCGGGACCTATGCATATAGGGAAGTACCTGAAATGATTTTTCATCTTTGACCTAAGAAATGCCCAAAAGTCACTCAATTATCAATCTGCCATTCAACTTCTGCAGGAGAGAAAGCAAGCTGACAGGTCCCAGCCGATTTCACAGAAAGACTCCACAACGCCAGAGACACACAGGATGCCAAGGACAGACCCCCACAATACTGACAGATGAGTCGTTTCTAAACAATTAACGTCACTTTAACCATCAAACCTCATCATGTACCCTTGAAAAAAGATGAGGATGATCTCAGGAACACAAACACAAAAGCAAAATTCAAAGCAAGCAGATACTGCAGCGTCAGACTATAGAACACGGAAAGACTTAGCGGGAATTACCACACGGAATCAAGAGTGGCCGAACGTTAAGAAATGTAACAATACTAATCAGAGACAATTCAGAGTGTCATTCATTCCATTCCAACTCTCATGCTTAAAAAATAAAATGCCCACACAGGAATGGCGGCAGCTGCTAACCTTCTGACAGGCCCCAGGCAAACAAGCCCTGTCAAATCAATAAGCTCCCACCTCAACTACTTAGAACAACAGCAAAATAAACTCAAAGCAAGCATAGGGAAGAAAATAATATAAATATATATATACATATATAACCACTACGGCCTCTTCACCAATGCCACTGATCCCACACCCACTACACGACAGGGTGGGCGGCCTCGTGAGGCCCACTGTACTCATCTCACATCCTCCAGGGAAGCTGCCATGCATGTCCTCGAGGCCCTGTCCTGGGTGGTGAGAGCTCTATGTACTGTTCTCAGTGACAGCCAGGGTTTGAGCGTCCCCACTCCCACACGCCACATCGATGACCTTCAGTCCTTTAAGCCCAGCTACCAGCATTGGAATGGCCTCGTCCTCACTGGAGCCTTCAAACAGATAGGACGGCTGTTCCTAAGTCCTGTGAGAGGCCACCTCCTGCTGCATGCTCCCACTCATGCAGGGCAGACGCACCGTGGCCCAGCCGGCCGTAGTTCCCGCAGCCCCAGGGGTACAGCTCCCCCTCGGCAGTGATGGCCGCGCTGTAAGTGCTCCGGCAAGCGATATGCACCCCGTGCTTCCCGGCCTGCTTTCCAGAGAAGGCGGAGATCAGCTTAGGCTCCTCCAGAGGCCTTGGGGAGGAAGGGAATAAACATGAATGATCTTCTTCTTGGTGTTATTTCTTATTAGCGTTAGCAAAGGAAATTCACTATCCAAATGGAGACCATGAGAGCATCAGGCCAGTTTCACCTTCCAGGTGCCTTATAAAATAAGGAAGAGAGAATTTGAACACCTAACACCTCCATGACTTTCTGTTAAGTTGGAACCCGACGCCAAGCATGGTATCCAGTAGAATTACAAAAACAGTGTGAAAGACTTGTACAATAGGCCGGGCATGGTGGGTCACACCTGTAATCCCAGCACTGTGGGAGGCTGCGGTGGGCGGATACCTGAAGTCAGGAGTTTGAGACCAGCCTGGCTAACGTGGTGAAACCTCGTCTCTACTAAAAATACAAAATTAGCTGGGAATGGTGGCAGGTCCCTGTGATCCAAGCTAACTGGAAGGCTGAGGCAGGAGAATCGCTTGAACCCGGGAGGCGGAGGTTGTAGTGAGCTGAGATCACGCCATTGCACTCCAACTTCGGCAACAAGAGCAAAACTCCATCTCAAAAAAAAAGACTTCTACAGTAAAGTCCATTGCATCTTTCTTCACAATGGCCCAAAACCACGGTCCATCTGCAACAGAAGGAAGGAATTACCCACATGCCCAGCAACGCGGCTGGATCTCAGGACATCATGCTACGTGAAAGATGCCAGAAACAAAACAGCACACGCGGTATGGCTTTGTTTACCTTCAATTATGGAAAAGACAAAATAGTAACAACAGAGGGCAGATCGGAGGTTGTCAGGAACTGGAGGAAGTGGGCATCAACTCAAAGGGTACAAACAGGGCCCTGGAAGCGACGGACACGCCCCATGTCTTGATGGTGGTGACTCCCCAGCTGAGGGCACTGGCCAAAACCCATCCAACTCTACACCCGAAACTCAGTCGTCTGGTTGTACGTAAGCCTCAAAGCTGACTGACATTTATAGGTATTTGTTAAATGAATGTGGATGGAATGAAGCCAGCACTCTGCAGTCTGTATCTTACAAATGAAAAGTATGAGGCAGTGGGGATTAGGGTAGAGAAGTCTTACTAGTTGAAGAAATGGCAAAGTTAACAAAATATCCTATTAGGATCCAGAATACGTGACATTTTCTTGAGAATCTATAGAAGCCAGGCCTCTCCAAAGGCATGGTTTACTCACTTTGTGACCTACTAGTTTGCAAAATACACACAGTGGCACAGGCACACACAGCGACAGTCCAATGACTCTACCCCAGTACAACCTCTCCCTTATTCAGCTTAAGTTTCAACTTCCCCAAAAGGTTATCTCCAGCTTCTGCCATCTGCACTGATCTCTCTTCCTTCCTTGAAGTCCTAGAATAAGGGATAAGTTACTCATCCCAGCACTTACTCTGCACTGAGAATTGTTTTACTATGGAATATTTTATACAAAGTCAGTAATAAATACCTAAAGGAAATAAGCAGACACACCACCCTGTCCTGTACCTCAATGCCTTTCAAGTCCCGTGTACCCCATGCCAATCCCAGCCCTTAGGATCCAGTGTAAGAGTAACAGCTATAAATTCCATGGAGATCGATCTTTTATTTTTCACTTGTCTGAATCCCTTACAACACTGTCAGGGTTGGGCTGTTGTGAGCTTGGCATACATGTACCACACGATGCGCATCACTCTGCTTTTCTCCCAGTTTGGGATCTTCCCAGCGGATGCTGTCGGCAATGATGCCCTCAACTCCACCCTGTGGTGTGCATGGCCCCTGCCCTCCAGGCTCCTCTCAAGGGACACAAGGGCAGTCATGACTACACTCATTTCAAGTTCTGCACTGTCCGCTCCCTGCTCAGGGCTCCGGCCCGCATGAAATGGGCTTGCTGGGTTGGTGTGTAACTACATCCTTCATTTAAACCTAATGCCAGAGTTCCACGCACAACAGCAAAGTACAAGAGGGTTCCCATCACTCATGGGGCTGGCAGACCTCCCAATTTTTACAACCTGGCATTCATAACAACTTTATTTCTGTTCTTTCACAATAAAAGGTTCCACTGAATAGGATGATATTACAAAGAAACTGCTGACTTTTGTTCCTGTAAAAATAACCTAATGGTTCAAGGAAAGGGGGACAACCTTATCTATGGGAGACGGGGGAACTGTCTGTGAAGGAAGGAACAGTGCTGTGGGATTTGCTCTGGCAAACTCCACAGTGGGGATGCGGTTTGAGTAGAGAGAAGGCGGCCAAGGCTGCACGGGGTGGAGAAGACCAGAAAGGCCGATTCCTGTTGCCCTCCACACATGGGCAGAGAGTTCCTCAGCCATCACCAAGGAGGGGGCATATCCTAGTGTCCCGCTCCACCCCAGCGCTGCACGTCGGGGCGGCTGGAAAACACCTGCACACACTTCTGCGCTCCAGCCTGTCCAGGAAATGGAAACATAAAAGGACAGTGTGTCCCCTGCAGGAATGAGCGATACATACAGTGTCCCCATGGCCAAGCCGTCCTCTGTCCCCAAAGCCCAGGAGTACACCTGTCCAGCGGCAGCCAAGGCTACGCAGTGATGACTAGCAGAATGGGCAGCAATTTTTACAGTGTTTCTGGAGGCAAGGCCTTGGACCAGCTGTGGGGCCTAAAAAAAGAAAAATAGGAAGAAAAGTCGTCATCAGTCGAAGAAAAATGAAATCAGTGCAGCTCTCCTTTATCAAGTATCCCCGAGCAAAGCCTGCTGTAACTGGAAGTGGGGCGTAAGTCTCTGCGGGCCACGGGACCGGCTCTCCAGCCCTTCCCACCCAGCACCAACAGAACAGCGGGCAGCCTCCAAGTGCTCTGTGGCAAGACCAGAGCCGATGCGGGGGCAGGGCAGGCTAACCCCTTGCGACAGAGACATGCAGCCGACAGGGAGGAGCACCCCGCTTTAATGAAAACATGCCACGTCCCAATCTGCCACTATCCCCATGAGGCCCAACTCCCTCATCTGTCACCTGCCAGGCCACAAAGTCAAATGAGTTTACACATGGAAAATGAGTTTACAAACGGGAATCTCATGATTAGCAATGAGTTGCACTGTAAGGACTTCCTAACCTTCACAACCCAAATCTTGATAATATTACGGTTGAGACCATTAAGCATAATATACAATAAATAGAAGCTTATCAATCTTCAGAAATCAAATGGCTTCAAGAAAGACCAGAACTTGTGCATCTGCAGTACAGACCCTGCCCCTCAAGGGAACACTGCAGGCACAGTGCCCAGAACACTCACCAGTGTGTCACTATTGTAGGCCTGTGTGTGCACACGGCCATTGTGTGACAGAATCAGGAAGCGCTTCTCTGCACAGGCAATCTGTGTGACTTCCACGTTGGCCAGGCCTTCACACTGGATCGGACCAATCACACTGGCATAGTATTTCCATCCTATTAACCCCCAATCTATGACCTCTTGCAATGATCCCTGTAAGATAAGAAAGTAAATGTTTTCTTTTACAACAGCAAAAGAAAAATAAAAAGCTGGGAGTAACACTGAGATATTATAAGCTAAAAACAAAGCAAATAAAGAGAAAATAGGCTGATTCAAAACATCAAAATAGCTGGTACCACGCCGTATTACCTCATTTCACAGGTATGATGAAGCGACTGAACAGGTTAGTTTTCCATTTCCATTGTGTTTCATTTTAACAGAGCCCATTAAAAAGTAGTATCAAGGACCCTTAAATACTAATATACTTAAAAATGCTCAAACTACATCAGGGTCACCATTCTGTGCTTCAGGAGACAAAATCTCAAAAGCCCACACGCGAGGCTGGGAGACCAGCATCCGTGTTGGCGGTGAGAGAAATCAAGTCGTGCAGGAGCAACCTGGTGACAACCAGCCCACACTGGGTGCATCCCCACCTGCGCATGGGCACGGGCACACACGTGTGCACACATGGAGCACACGTGTTCCAAGGCAGGCCCTGCAGCACTATTTGTGTTTGTTTTATTGTTGTTGTTATTATTGTTTGAGAAGGAGTTTCACTCTTGTTGCCCAGGCTGGAGTGCAGTGGCGCCATCTCAGCTCACTACAACCTCCGCCTCCCGGGTTCCCACCATTCTCCTGCCTCAGCCTCACAAGTAGCTGGGACTACAAGTGCCCACGACCACGCCCGGCTAATTGTTTGTATTTTTAGTAGAGATGGGGTTTCACCATGTTCGCCATGATGGTCTCGATATCCTGACCTTGTGATCCGTCCACCTCGGCCTCGCAAAGTGCTGGGATTACAGCCGTGAGCCACCGCGCAGGGCCTTTTTGTTAATGACTGTAAAACAAAATAAATACTCTTCATATTAGAAATAAAATGTTAGAAAAATCGATTCAAAACTAAGATTACTCTTATACCCTGGAAAAGTTCACCACCATTCCCAAAGGCAGTTTTCTCACTGACATAATGAGATACAACAGCATGCATGAGGTCCTCAGCGGGCCTGCACCCTACAGGTGCTCCACACACGCAAATCACTACTATTACCATTACTATTACATGACAGATAGAATATAGATTAGACTGTCACTACTATAACCAGCATTACCTACTAAGACAGCCCGCCTTCAGAGTATAAAGGAGGCTGTGGAACCCCCTGCAGAAGGTGGGAGGGCCTGGGGCTGCGGATAAAGGGGAGCTCTCTGGGGTTGTGCTACCTGAACCTGGAACCTGGGCCCCCAGGTTGGGTCCCTAGGCCTGTGCCCCTCAGCTTGCTCACCACTCACTCTCCACACGGGGAACACCTTCAACTGCAAACACGTTTAAAACCACAAGCCAGATTCCCCCATCAATACCAGAAAACCAAGTCTCCACACCGGCCCAGGATGAGAACCTAGAGGTGGTACTAGCCACAAAACACATGGAGAACGTGGTTCTTGCACACACCTTATGAGACGTCGGAGCGCTACACAGCAGAGGCAAACAGGGCGTAGCCGGACGGTCTAAATGGCCCATGACAACAACCACGGTCTGTCGCAGATCAATGGCAAGCTCGTTGTCTTGTGGAAGGGTGAGGTACCTCAGGAAGCTCTCGCTGGGGCTCAGAGGGTCAGACAAAAGCTAGAAAGGAAAAGTAAACAGACATTCAGAAATGGTGGGAAAAATTAAAGTAACACAATTAGCCCTTAATAAAATAAAAAACCACTCTTTATATTTTGGTATTTACTCGTGTGGCCCATCAAATGACCATGTCGATGATACAGTATTACTACACATCTACATATTTATGCAGCATATAAACTGACTGTACAAATGTCTCAATTTGCTGTATACATGTCCACAACATTGACTGTGCATGTATACACTTATGATACCACAGCTTAGTTGAGTCCACACAGATTACTAATACAACCAACCACCCCGCAGGCCTAGAACCCCTGGGGAAAGGCAGAACCACCTCTGGGGGACCCCAGCGCAGCATCTCAAGCTGGCCTTGAAATCTAAAACCAAAACCTTTACTTTAATCTAAACCTTGCCCGCTCTGGAAAACACCTACTTTCATTTGCAAATTAAATCATAATTCTAATTCTTCTACAGGCAGAAGAGCCCGATGATTATTCAAGACTGCCAAATAATAGAAAAATTAAACCAAAGCACGACACTGGAATGCCTGAGACTTTCCCGAAAAGACTGGCAAAATCCAACCTGTACTTGACCTGTAAGGACCGGCAGTCCTGGAGGTTCAGGCCCAGGGCCCCGCACACCTGCTCCTCCCCAAGCGCGGCATCCACACCTGTTAAGGGGGGAGCTGGTACTCAACAGAGTGACAGCTCAGGTGACATGCCCTGCACAGAGCCCAGTACACAGGAAGGGCCAACAACGCAGGCCACTGTTTTCGTTGTTCTTTTCCGTTATTGATTTTAAAGTGCGTGTTTCAAGCTTGGTTCTGAGCTGACGAGGACGTCGGTGCTCACTGATTCGAGTCTTCTCCACAAACAAGTGACCTCCCACACCTGTCTCATCTGACTCGCTGTTGTTTCCACCAAACACACACACATCAGAGAAAAGCACTGCCGTGGACACGCACGCTGATCTTGCTTAAAAAATAACTAGAATCGAGTGCCACCTAAACACAAAGTTCCATCATGACACTCATGTGCATGTCGCCCTCGGAGTGGGGTGTATCCTTCCTGCAAATGATGCTCTGGAACCTTTGCAGCAAGGGCAAAAGCGGGGCGCTGGTGCCCTGGGTGGGAACGCTCACTGTCAGTCTCCTGTGCCCCGCTGTCCCACAGCTGAAGTAACAACAGGATGGCAGACAACATTTGGCTAAAGGGGAAAAGATATTCATTCCTAGTAAAAGAACATTAACTTTTTTTTTCATGGTTAATCAAAAATAAAAGCAAACAGCTAGATAGAAGTGAACAAATACTTGGCATCTGGAAGGAAACGAAAGTAAAGCTGTGGTAATTAAATCACTGAATTGACACGGAGATTTTAGCACACATCACCTTCTGCTGATAGGAAAGACCAGTTAAGAAGCCCAAAGAGCACGTTTACATGAAAGCTCTAGGATCTTAAATTCATGGAATAAAAACAATTAAATGAGGAAAACTGAAAGAAAAAAAAAAGAACAGTTCCCAGACTAGAAAACCGAGCATAAAAAAGGAAGTGAAGAAAAGGTAAAGAGAGAGCGAGCTCTGGGACGTGGTTCTCTGGTTACAGAGCACCACACATCTGCTGCCAGGTCAACCAAAGGATTCAGTGAAATGCACACAGTGCTACAGGTATTTGGATACAGACGCCACTTCCCCAAAGCGTTCCCAGTCTGCGCCAGCCTCACCCTCAGCGTGCCTTCTGCACAGCCAGCTCCAGCAGGATGCCAGGGCCAAGTGCTGGTCCTGCAGGGGGACGCTTCTGGTCCTGTGCCTGTGGCGTTCCGTGAACATCCCTGAAATGAAGAGCAGAGGATGCGGAACAACGCGACTCCAGACAGACAGCATGTTTACAATCACACTGCACGTTTCCTACACGCTCCCTCCCAAGGAAGGATGGTATTTTAATACTTAGTGAATAAGTTTCTGAGACTTGCTATCATTTATTCAGAGGTTAAAGTGTACAACTACTTACAAAAATATATTTTTAAGTATTCATCTTCAATCTATCTATATTACAGTAGATGACATACTCCAAGTGTCGC